GTAACGACACGCACGCATGCATAACGCTACTATGATTATGAGTGGAAGCCGGAAACCGAGGCGCACCTCTCAAAAACGAAAGACTCCAAGAGTTTAGACAATTTGGATTACGTTTAGACTCACCGGTGCTTCATTTTTCGTCGCAGTTGGAATAATTTGACAATTCTTCCTTCACTGAAGGAGGGGACAGCAACTCCTAAAGTTGTCGACTGCAGTGGGATTGCAATTTCGTTTCTGAACTGCCATCAGTCGGTTAAATTGCCGCTTTTACAACGCAAAAAGAGCTCGTTATCCTTCCCGGAGGCTAAAACTCTACGAACTGGGAAACGGTTGGACCGAACCCCACGATCAGTACTTTTCTTCTAAAAGCATTTACTCGCCAACATACCCGAACGTTGGCGATATGTCGAAGACAAATGGCGCACACATAATTTACAGACTGGTTCAATTTGAAAATGCAATACTTATGATCACCTAAAGGAAATGCAAAATTTTCATTTCACAAGGACCCTCTCAAATGTTAATTCACTTCAAACAAGGTGGTCATGGAAAACTGGTCACTTCCCCGAGTCCTGGAATATTTCTCTAATTGTGAGATGAATACGTCAATGCTAAACCATCTGAACTCCCATGTTCCAGGTACATCTTCTTTCACGTATTCAACATCCCAACATCATTTCGTATTACGATTCATTTGAAGAAGATGGTATTCTTATGATTGAAATGGAATTCGCTGATGGAGGGTAGGAAAGAATTTCTCGAACTGTTCTTAAACGGGAAATTGGTTCCATTTTCAATGTCCATTCAGAACTTTGGCTCAGTTTCTGGTGAAGTGCCAAACGTTCATTCCTGAAGATACCGTCACCGATCTCATGATTCAAATGCTGTCAGCGGTAGCTTACTTGCATGAAAATAGCGTGTTGCACAGGTGAGTGTAAACAAACATGATCTCTGGAAAACTTTGCAAAGGAGCTTGATCAAGGGGGTCTTGAAACGATTCATTTTAAAAACAGAGATTATTTGAAGCACCCCTGCTAGCTTCAGTGCTTCAAGAAATTTTTTAGCAAAACAAGTTCCCTTAGGTAAGTCGAAACCGTACACCAATAGTCCCTATTATTGGTTTCTGGGCTAAAGACAAGTTCCGTGATTAAACTAAATACAAGCCGATGTCGCCCCGATTACAAGAACCAAAGAAAGTCCTTTTCGAAGTAATTAGCGCTTTACAGCTAGAATCAAAACAGCCCACAGTGCTCATAATTGATTTTGTTCATTTTTTTCAGAGATCTGAAGACAGCCAATGTTTTTCTGATGAAAGACGGGTTTGTAAAAATTGGTGACTTTGGAATCAGCAAAGTAATGGGAACGGAAACACTAGCTCAAGGTGCAAAGACCGTCGTCGGTACGCCGTATTATATCAGCCCAGAAATGGTGAGTTGTCCATGAAACTTCTGAACGAGGTGGTGCAGAGATGTGACGATAACATGAAAGAAATTTGAAATTTTTGA